GTTTCGGCCGTGGAGCCTTCTTCAGGTGTGAGAGAGACAGGGCAGTAGGCAAAGGTAATGTAGCGGGAGAACAAAGGCTGGGAGGGAGGAGTGAGAGGCGGGAGCAGGGGACAGAAAGAGAGGCCAATCAAGAGGTGTGAAGTCAGAATAGGTGTTCTGACTTCACACCTCTCAGAATAGGTGAAGTAAGAAGCTTTTCCTTAGAAGTGCAGAGGTGTGAAATTGAACTTCCAATGAATGGAGAAAATTTAGAAGAAGAGTAGTCTGTCGTTAAGAGAAGAGGGAAGGTGTGATCCTAGCTGCAGGATAATTTTGGTTTCGGTAGTACTACCTATAAACCTATAATAAACCTATTACTTGTTCCTTTGCAGCCTACGCATGCTAGTAGTTCAGCTACCACCTGAACTACTACATATATATATATATTTGTTTTTACAGAAAGCATTATAAGTTACATTAACAAACAGTGTCTGGATCTCTGGACTTCAGACTGGACAGCTGTGGGTTTGATTCCCTGTTGGGACAGTGCTATTGTGCGCTTGAAAAAAACTTCACTCAAACTGCACTAGCAAATTCCCTGCTATCCAGGTCGTCACTGTCAAGGGGAACTTATTCTTAATACTTTTCTGCTAAAAGGACTACATTTAAACATATTAAAATTGACTACAGCTGTAAAATGTGAAAGATATTCTAATGGATAAGAAGTAGCTTTTTAATGCTAATCAGGTTTAGTGCAGTTTTTAGCCCCTGTTGAAGTTCATCTAAGACCCCTACAGACGTGAGGCTCACCATGAATGGGAGAGGTAACTACTGCTCTCTAATAGCCCGCATTGTCAGCACTGAATCCCTCACTGCATTTATTCTGAACAAAGGCATTGACAAAGTCAAGTTAAGAACAAAGCCGATGTATGCAACTGTAATTTAAAAAAAACTATACGGAATGTATATCAAACCAGTATTGCCTACGGCTTATTTCTATTTTAATTGGTATTTCATTTTATTTACACACTCAACTGCCTCTCTGGGCTCAACAGAATGTGGCCCAACAAATGTTGAATATTCATATACGGGACAAACCTAAAACCTCCTCATTTTGAGCCCTATTACACCCTACAACCTCATGGTTTACCCTACAGCAAAAAGGTGCAGGATGCAAGCAGCTAATTTAAACTTATTACTACAGTGTCTTCACCACTGGAGTAACACGTAACGCTCACACGTTTTCAGGGGTTGTTTTGTGTCTTGTAATTCCCTTTTGGACATCACAAAACACTCTGGATATATAAAAAGGAAACCCTCACAGTGATTGATCAGCTGCTGCTAAAAAGTAGTGTACTCATTAAATCAGGTGATTGTTCTTTACTTATTTCCCTGATTTCAATTTCAATTTAGTGCTGGATTTTTGGGCCCAAGTCAGGTTTAGGACAGGTGGTTTTGTAGTCCTACCTGAATTTATTTTTTCAGAAACTCTCTGGGCCTGGGTGGCACGGTGCACTGTGTGGTAACTGTATCCCCATTTGAAATCAGGGATAAAAGACTGAGATTTTTACTTATTTCTTGTTGTCATTACAATCTGATAAAGACTGATTACAGAACACTGTTAATGTCTTTGGGTTAAAACCTTTTCTATGATTTCTAAAGCTCAGCTAAATGATTAAGAAAAATTACAGCTGTTCAGCTGTCTGAAGCATAAGGGCGGAATGCAATGCTGAATATTTGCTTAGTGTGGAGTCATGCCAAAACCAGAGATGCATACTAAGGCCACTCACCTATTCTGATTGAGTCAAGAAAGAGCGATCGGTAAAGTTGATGCACTAGTTTTCCTCTCTATTAGCTGTGAAGCTCTTCTATATTTGTAAAACAAATGAAAATTATAGTTTCCTTAAACAAGATATTTAAAATGTATCACATGTGATTAAGATCAATACTGTTGAGCAGAAAATGTAGCTAAATGTAGAAATCCCGGTCTCAAGACAGCAATGGATTTTTTTTCATTTCTGCCTGAAAAGTTCTGATAGATTAATGAAACGTTTTAACCTTTAAATTTGAAAACCATTTGCATTACCTGAGTAACCGGAAATAACAAGTGTTCTATATTCTCACATAATGGGGAATGCCATTTTTATATTAAGATATTAAAAAGAATTGGCATTGATGAGCGCATTTCAAACCACAATGAAAGCAAAATGTACACAGTAATGTGTAAAACCTCCAATTTACAATCACAGATTTCCAGGTATGCGAAGCACCATATTGCCGTCATTGTCTGTGATTCAGAATCAGGCAACAAAACTTCAGGTGAGGTGAAGCAGCCCTATTACAGTGTAAAAGAAGCAAGCTTGGGAATACACCACTTTTAAACCAATAGAAATACTGCTCTCGACTTTGAGACGGTTTTGCCAAGAAAGACGACGTGTTAACTCTGCACGCAGATCACTTTGGAACATTTCTGTGGTGAAATATCTGCTGCACAACCTGTACTTATTTGCTCAAGCATCGCTGTACATTAGTTATTACAGTAACTCGTGAGCAGGAAGGGAGCTTCAGGTCACAATTCTCACAAACTCTCGCTCTCAGCCAGCAATGTGCGACAACCATATAGTACTTTCACAAAGTTCACAATTTTGTACTTCATTCGGAATTTGTAAAATTTTGCGATACTGTCAATTAATTTTTGTCGTTACCGATACTTAATAACTGGCCTGAGAAATTGGGACTGCAGTTGCCATTGAATTAAAAGGTCATAAAACACATTAAATACGACGTGAACTGCTCAGACATTTCAAAGCTCTGCCCCCTTGTGACAGCTTGAAACCGTTATCACAGATGGAGCCACTGTATGTCTTGTCTTAAAAGCAGCAAGTTTCTGAAGTACTAAATGAGTGATCCCTCATCATCGGGGCTCCCTTACCGGTATGAGGGATGTGTGGGTTAGGTGCCAGTTTCCCTGGGTCTGCGACAGAGGCTCGCACCAGGGAGGTCACACACAAAATGGAAGCCAGGTAGTAACCTGCAAAGGGAAGGAAAGAATACAATACATCATGAAGAGGAGAAGGGTTCAAAAAGACTTGTCTTCACGAAGGCTTTAAGGCTTTTGTTTCATTATTCAGAAACAAAGGTAGATTCAATCAAAAGTAATCGTCATGATTGGGGGGGGGGGGTATTTAATTTGAATCAGAAATCCAGTCTCTGTTATTGTACGAATTATAAGCACAGGAGGGGAGGCCATTCAGTACGCTTTTCCTTAGAAGCTTATTGATCTGAGGATCAAGGCTTCAACAACATGGCTGCACTGTCTGTTCCTAGTTCCCACACTGTACTGTGCTGTCCTGTTCACCAAGCAATACTTAATTCTCACGTAGGGACTGGCGTGACTCTGTAGAGTCGGAGGAGTTTATTTTGATGCGCTGGTTACATCTTCAAGGGAATGACGAAAAGCAAGAAAAGAAAAAACAATGTTAGGACATACTGCACATCTCAATGCGATTTAAAAGAATTGAAAATCACCAGAAGTAATGTAAAAACTGCACAATGCACAAGCTAGATCTAATTTAGAATATGGAGCATGACTGTAATCACCACATTACAGAAAAAGGCACGGCTGCTCTGGGATCAGTCCTGAGACGAGCGACCAGCCTGGACTTGAAGAAATGTCCTACACTGACAGAATAAACAAACTGAACCTACTACAACTATCCTGAAAAAAGAACATCACAAGGACTCCTAATTGATGTATTCAAACCCTCAAAGGCACTGATATGGTCAACCCAACAGATTTCTTCAGAATGAACACCGAAAGACGAAACAGTGAAGAAATAATATGAAAGTGTATTTTAAACCTCAACAGGATGTCCTTTAGTACACAAAGGATGGTGAGAGTCTGGAAAAAAAAACAATTCAGGCATGTTGTCGAAGCCGATACCCTGGCTTCCCTTAGGAAATGGCAGGATCCTCAGACCAATTAGCTACAGTACAAGCGCTAGTGTTAGACAGGCCCAATTGCCTCTTCTTAGTTGTAACTTTTCTTATGTATCCGGTGTAATAGCATTTGGTCTCACAGTACAGAGTACAGATCAGCAGCAAAGCTTGACCAGACATTACAATATTATGTTTCCCTGCGTTTGGTTTGCAAAAGTTGTACGCTATGTAATAAGGAACACGTTATTACATCACCCAAAATCTGTCCAAAGATATTTTCAGACAGTTAGTAAACCCAGCTTAACAGATGCTAAAACCTCTCCTGTGAGAACTTTTAATCTATTAAGACTTCAGTAAGACTAATCTTTCAGCATTTGTGTTTCTCCACCTGCCTTCAAACCTGCCATTATTCCTTTTCTAAACCAGTAACCATATAGACCAGTAACCACAGAGTGTTCAAGACAGAGAGGAAAGAGAAATCATTCAAACTGAAGGGTCACTAAAGCTACACAGGTTGAAAGCAACAGAACTTGATTATGAGATATCAACTTGATTATCAGAACACGATTATCACGTTTTACTGTGGAAATTTTAAATCTAGCAGCTTGACATTTTCAGTAGTAAGAATCATAACTATTTGTATACCAACAAAATTCTTAGCTTTTTTTTACACCCTGCTCCTACTGGAATTCTGCCCATGTTTTCAACACATCTACACACAACAAACCTGATGTAAGAAAACTGAATTAATAATTAGTGGGCTAGACTGATATCTTTCATTAATTGGCTCTATATAGAGATCAACTGCTGAACACTTGTGGCAGGTTAATTCATCTCACAGGTTCAGTTTGCTGTACCTTTTTATCAGGCAATACTTAATTCTCATGTAAGGATTGGCCTGACTTTATTTGGCATACACATAACGTTGCAATAAGAATATTTCACCCGTATAAATACCAATATAATAGTGAAAGTGCAAGTTTTCAACAGAAAGCAACTCTCTTTATTATACATTTGCTGTTGTTTAGTTATAAAAAAGTCAAATAATGAACAAAGCGATTACTGTTATCAATATAAGTCCTGATTTCGGGGCAACTTCAAACACCACAGCTGTCCCAAGCTAAAGCCAAGATGAAAAGAGTTGAGATTTTTCCGGAAGTGAGTGGCAAATTCTCTGCTGATCCAAGCAGTTACCACAGGGACTGGTGTTGCTGGGGTAGCTTGTCAACCCTGCTTCTTGCAGCAAGGCAAAATCAAGTAATCGCTGATTCAGCATCTCATTTCCTTAATTTCCCTTTATGTAAATGTGTGAGAACACCAAGATCCTAAGTCTATTTACCAATAGCAGCCCTGTCTAGGGCTAGGCCTAAAGGTCCTAATATAATACTGATGGAGCTATGCACTCTGACCCTTGCTGTGAAACATCTCACCGGGAAACACAGAAAACAAGAGCTCTTACTGATAACCAAAGCAGCCGGGATGTGGCCTTCGTCAAAGTGGGGCAGCAGCACCAGTTTCGGGATGAAGAAGGAGTTGTAGAGCCAGACGAAGAAAACCATGCTGATGCAGCACCAGCCCATGGGGTCGAAGACAAAGTGAATCCGCAGACCCATGGTAGGGGGGGAACTTCCTGAAGCAAATGTGAAGGATCCTGAGATAAAAGGAAACAGGTGAGATTTATAATAATAATAATTGCTTACACTTATATAGTGCTTTTCTGGACACTCCACTCAAAGCGCTTTACAGGTAATGGGGACTCCCCTCCACCACCACCAATGTACAGCATCCACCATAGTGCGCCCAAATGCTCACCACACATCAGCTATCAGTGGGGAGGAGAGCAGAGTAATGAAGCCAATTCATAGATGGGGATTATTAGGAGGCCATGATTGGTAAGGGCCAATGGGAAATTTGGCCAGGATGCCGGGGTTATACCCCTACTCTTTTCGAGAAACACCCTGGGATTTGTAATGACCACACAGAGTCAGGACCTCGGTTTTACATCTCATCCGAAGGACGGCGCCCGTTTACAGTATTATACTTTCCCAGGAGGTCTCCCATCCAGGTACTGGCCAGGCTCACACCTGCTGAACTTCAGTTCAGGTGTGAGCTCATTACTTAATCCCCCAGCACTGACCCAATGGCCACAACCTCTCTGCTTCAAGATGGAATGATGACGCCAGCCTTTGGAGAGCATTTTGCTCTTTGGGCCAGCAATAACAGCAATGGCGGAGCTAGCTGACTCTGAACCACAGGCTGGGATTCCGCTGCAGGTGCAGGATTTGCACTGGGGCTGCGCTTGCTGCAATGAACACGCCGCAGGAGGGGCAGTTTGAAGGCTGGCACTCTTTACAGATAAGTCACGTGTGGCTCTCATAGATACTGGTACGCCACCATGAGCTCAGGAGACATGAGAGAGGCAGTTAGATATCCTAACCATCAGAGATAACCTCTTTGCTGCTCAGAGAGTGGCTCATCCTCTTTCAATAGGAAATAATTCAATGATTCCCTCGATCTCGCTGTCAATTAAATATGTGACTGTCTCTGTCTCATCTTCATGTTTTTTCATGTTAATGAGCAATAATTCGATAAGAAAACTCAGAATAATGTACAATGAGTGCCAGCAGGAGTATTTTGGAGATTTCCAGCAGGGTATTTATGAGATATTTATGCTTCCTATGGACCTTTTTAACCATAAAATAGAAATGAATGCACACTTACATCACAGCAATTAACTTGCATATAGCACAATATGTGCAACACAGATACAAACAGCTCTACAGCTTTGGGGAGTAAGTTAAAAAAATACTTATTGGCCTTCCTGATGACAGCAGAACAATTAAATCCTAAATCCATGACAAAACTTTCTCTTCTAAGATGAGCCTTGGTACCTTGATTAAGCAGGCTTGCTGAGGATGAAGACTTGGCTAGCAGGTCTGTGTTTGTGTTTTGTTTTTATTTTCAATGGCTGTCACGAAGCCAAAGAGTTACTAGAAATGAAAAGCTTCACTCCTGTCATCGATTTCTATTCATTGAACGTTCTGCCTGTTCTGTTTGAAACAACCTCCATCACATGACAAATCTGGCAGAGCTGCTAGGTTTTAAAAAGGGGAGCAAGATAGTGATCCAGCCTTTTCTTGTATTTTTTTCCCCAAAGTCACTGTGACCGGACTTCACTCACACCAGAGATAGTGCGTAGTCAGGGAAGCGGTGGGACAGGGGCCGGATGTCTTCTGAACAACAGAGTCGCGAACAATCAAAGACAACAGAATCAAAGGTTCCTCACAGATAAGCAGTCTGACAAGAGCTCATCTCACATACTGCCTTCTATTTGTTAGGAATCTGAAGATCCACTAGCAGGTGTGGAGGGGAACATTCAAAAGAGACGATTTATTGTGGAGGTGTTCTGGCATATTGGTGTTGAATGCAGAGCTGAAGCTCAAAAAAAGGAGTCTCACATGTGGTCCTGGAGATCCCAGAATATAGTGGAGGAAAATATTAACATTATCGACTGACTTGCTTGCTCTGTATGCAAATTATAAGGGGTCAAGATATGAATCTGTGATAGTTTTGAGGTATCTGAGTAGCAGGCGCTCCAATATTTTCATCATGACAGAAGTACGTGCAACTGGTCATTAATACAGGTTATGTTATCCTTCCTGGGAACAGGGAAAGATAGGAGAGGATTTGAAGCAGGCAGAGACCGTGTAGTGGTCCAAGGGCTTGTTAAATATGTCTGTGAAAACCAGCAAGAGCTGAGCAGCACAGTGCTTCAGAGTGGCTGGAGAAAGGTGATCAGGAGCAGTAGCCTTCCTGCAGTTTTGGTGTGCAAACAGCTTGGGATTCCTGCCCTTGAATAATAGGGTAAGACAAACAAGTGGAAGATTCAGAGTTATCTGGTGGGTGAAGGGAGATTGGTTAGGGGGGTGGGGGGGGGGGTGGGGTGTGAAGTGTAAGAGAGGAGAAAACAGGTTGCATGAACCATTGTTAAGGAATCTTCGCTTACAAAATCTGCAGTAAAACTGGTTCAGCTTGTCTGGTAGAGACGGGTCAGCTGCTACAAGGAGGGGGGCTATTTTTGTAGCTTCTGATAGCTTGAAGGCCCTTTTACACAGCGGATGAGTCATTGTTAGCAAATTGCAATTATTTTTTTTTCCATATTTTGCACGTCTGATTGCTTTGTTGAGGTTTTTAGTGCCATCTTTTTCTGAGCCACCATGTACAGTAGGAAAAAAGTTTTACCACATTAGGTTTCTAATCAATTCCCCCTGGTTGCTGACTAAACTCCCATAGCACCACAGAGAACAAACAAGTGTCACGAATACTAAGGTGAAGACTAGGTATGGTTTACAACTGCTTTGCCACTTGAATTGGCTTCATATGCTGTTTGTCTTTAATTGCAAATGCATACATTTGTATGGGAAATATTTCATTCTATTTAAAAGCAGATTTCAATGTTGCCAAATACAAGTTTGCCTTTGCAAAATGTTCCAAAACTCTCCTCCTACTCCTCCTTCAGTTCAAAACAGAAACAAACACATTTCCACGGTAAATACAAATATTGAATCAACTATGATTCATTATAGAAGATCTCACTCTTGAAGAAGCTGTAGAATCTCCCCACTCCCTAGTTCATATTTAAATCTACTCATTATACTAAACTATTTATTTTGAATCAGGATTGACTACATCAATTACAGTTGTTATAAAATCCTTATAATTAAAATTGCGCATCATTGTACATGTGCATGGGGCTCGTTGGGGATGTAGCTCAGTGATACAGTGCGTGCTTCGCACGTATGAGGTTCCGGGTTCAATTCCTGACATCTCAGGGTGCTTTATCTGGGGCAGTGCAGTGGCTCTGTGGCTAAGGATCTGCGCCCGTGGCTGGAAGGTTGCCGCTTCGTATCCCGTGGCCAGCAGAGGAATCCTACTCTGTTGGGCCCCTGAGCAAGGCCCTTAACCCCAGCTGCTCCAGGGGCACTGTTCAATAGCTGACCCTGCGCTCTGACCCCAAGCTTCTCTCTCCCTGTCTGTGTGTCTCATGGAGAGCAAGTTGGGGTATGCGAAAAGACAAATTCCAAACACAAGAAATTGTATATGGCCAATAAAATAAACTTATCTTATGTCGTTCATGCATAGGAATGGAGAAGAAATGCCCAAGTTGTGCATTTTATTTCTGATCTTGTTTCAGGTGCAGTTATTCTATCACAGCAAATCCGCAAATCAGATAGACCTAATTGAGAGATGTGGGGAATCTATTATACAGGCAGCAAGTCCTGACAAAGACAAAGTCTTTCCTTTTTTAATACAAGTTAAAAAGGTAAACGAAACAATTACTGGATGTAATTTGTCCAAGTTTATAATCCACAAACTAACTTACAAACTATCTAGCTCAGCTCTCTTTGTAGCTACACTTTCCATCAAGAAATATATTTCTAAAAGTGACAGGCACTCCCTAGATTATCATTCTTTAGTAACATTTTTTTTTTTAAAAAGAGAATCACTTCAGGAATGGAATTAACAGTGTCTCCCTAATTAAGAACATACAGAAGGAATTTCACCAGGGCCTGCTGAACAAGCTGATTACACTTCAATACAGAGCTGTAGAAATGATACTGTGAGAAACAAAGTCATCAAAATATTCTGGTTATTTCTTGCCCTCTCTCTGTGTACAAAAGTATTTTTTTGCATTAAAGGCACACAACTTAAGAAAAGTGTAATTTATTAAAAGCCATAACGTAACAGTACATAGCACTGTCTTATTGTTTGTTTTCAAGGCAAGACACAGATTGCTTTAAAAATGACTCATGTTCTGAGTTTTAAATGCACTTTCCCTTAATGTCCACTTGTATTTATATTTCGCTGCTGATTCAGCAGATATCCACAGAGTTGATTCTGTCAACCCCTTTGAGGTTTCAGAATACTTGAATCCGTTACCATGACATCCACCTTTTACAAATATGCCATTTAATCTACCCACCATGCCCATATACCCGGAAACAGCCTTTTAAAAAGACATCTAATGTCAAATATTTATTCCAATCAGCGCTTAGTTTTAACACAGCCCAGTTAAACAGTTTGCCAAAAAGAACTAATGTCTTTTTATGTGAAAAATTATCAAGTGAATACTGAACAAAGCATGTCTCCCTACCCTCTGATCTAATTCCAATCTCTTATTTACTCTATCACCACAAATGCACAAAGTACAGTAGATGAAAAATGTGGACTGTTATCACACAGTGCACCAGATTACAGAAGCACTGTAGTTTATCAAATGCAAACATAGTTCAGGGAGACAAGCATGAAAACTGAAGCACGGCTATATTGAGGAGTGGAAACCATTTCTGTCGGACTGCCAAGCCACTGTAATGCTGAATGGACTGCCCTTTCACTACAGTGAGGCCTCACCTTTCTTTACACAGGAAGTGGCTGAACAGTTCTCTTCACAGGACAATATGCAGCATACTAAATTGGCTTGAGAAAAAGAATTCTTTGCAACCAAAAAAGAAAATCTTACCTTTATGGTTATGGTCCAAACTTCAAAGTTCAAATCTCATAGTCATTGCAGCAATCCCTTCCATCAGAGACCTAAAAATGATTACAATCAATCAAATGACCTAACAGTAAATAAACAGCCTTTCAAAGCAGGTAGTTTAATATTCCCAAGCACAATCATTACTATGTTTTTGTTTCATTTCTTCAAGCTTGAGAGAAAACTAAGCCTCGTCATGCAAGTAAAGCTTACATAACACTTAAGAGTCAATCAGGTCTTCACACTTCAGATATACAACTTATATTTCAAGGGTACCTTCCATAGTCAGCATTAATGTCTAAAAACTAATAACAGGGTGATCTCAAAGAATTTCCTATCAGACAAAAGCTTTGTGTTATTAATGATAAAGCTTGTAGCAGTAGATACTGAAACAACTTGAGGACAACACTACAGAGCTCTACAGATCTCTGCATTCAATGAGTTAAAGAGACACAGAGGCAAACAAGGTCTTTACCAGACATATAAGACAAAAAAAGGAAAAATGGAAAACTAGTGTATCATTAAACTAGTCTGAATTCTGATCTTCAGAATTTGGAAGCCTTTTATATGGTTGTATGAGAAATGGTGAATCTGACATTCATTTAGTGTTCTTTAACAATCAGTTAGCTTCTTGTTACAAAAAAAGGGATGTGTGGTGACTAAAGACGATATCGTTGCACTTTACGAACCCAAATAATTTGGAAAATGAAAGGTTTCTGGGACTGTAAAATAATATTTCTTATGTTCGTTGGTTGCTCAGTTTATGCCTGATTCACTAAATCATAACTTTAAAATTCTAAGTTTCAGAATTTCTCGAATTCGAGCGGCCTGTGTTGCCTAACCAACTGGACTTCTGCAGAAAGAAAAAAAGCTCAGTGTGGGAGCATCTGAAGAGTTCTTCATTCACAGCTATGCTTCCTCATTATGAACTGAAGAGCTATTAAGACCTATTGAAGAGGAACGGCTTACAGCTGTGCTTAGTTCTGTAGTTAAAACTACAGAATGACAGCACGAACAATTTCATCACTCTATTAATGATCAATCAATATAAATGATTCAATGTAATGTAATCACTCTGACTAATAAGCAGATCAATTAAAGCCATCAAATATTTTATAAGTATTCAAATTATTTCTGTTCTTACCTCGATTTCATTTTGTCTACTACGAGATACAGTATAAGTAAGCGATCTGTATATACTGTATTTCCAAAGCATCATAATATGACGGACACAAACTCCAAAACCACTTTGTTATCATCATCTTAACTATCTGCAATGTTATGCTGCATTGTAATAACTGTACTAATTTTGAATAAGATCGAGTTAAAGATAAATACAGCACGGTATATGTGTTACCACAGAATTATTAAACTGGGAACCCAACACTTCAAGCCACATCTGACCTCTGAGCGATCTATACTGTCTTGTTGAATTACAGAAGTAAAAAGGCGCCGTGAGCACGATTCGGGCTGCCATAACCGATGATCTCATGTTGCCAGTAACGAATATACATAACGATAAAAAATATTATATAGTATTTTAAATATATGAATAAAATATCTTTGCTCATTCTTAATAATAACCGATGTTATTATAATAACAGCCCAGTTGCTATTTGTTTCGGGTTTACGTTGGCAACTACTGTTGCGACCGTACCTACAAGTATTACTTAATTTCCTCAAGCAGTTTTCGCTGATTAATTAGCTAAATCAAACAATATTTAACCTTTCGTGTTTGCCTTTTAACCATTTACGCAAATATCAACGTGAAGATTTTCTTTTTAATCTATATTTCGAAATAATCGACAAATATCTTCCAAGAACTCGCATTATGATATTACAAAATCATATTCAATTACTAAGCTACCCCCTAACAGCGTTGCAGCGTTTGTATATTTATGGCTGGACTTCACCTAACATTTCATTTTTTTGTAAGGGAATCAAATATATTCTACCAACCTTCATTTTTATGATCAGATTTTTAATACAGTTATTCGATTTTTGAAACATCAGTATACCTCCACTTACTTTGAACTCTGCTTCCCGACAGGAATCTGAGGTGCTCTTCCGTGTTTGGTTACACGACCACCCTTTCAACGGCAACGTGCTGAGGACAAAACACACATACATTGGAGGCTGTCCAATTGCGTGGAAGTTGCTCAATATATTCAGTGGCTCCAAGTTAAAAGGATTGGCTGAAAATCAGGTTTTTCCTTCTGTCAAACGCTAAATAGATCGTGATTTCTGATACAGATACCCAGCTGAATTCTTTACACGTTAGAAAAACCAGTTTCACTTCTCTTTTACCTTTCAAAATCCATGGTGTACTGTATTTGTTCACCTTTTGTGAGTACTTGTATTTTGATACTTCTGAAAAGATTTATTCAGATTTGCCTCAAGAATTAGGGAAGTTATTCATAGCGTTCTGCACGCACACAATGTAATCTAAATTCACGAAGCCACCTTCAATCTTTATGAAATTGTCTCATTAAGCAGGCTCCTGTCCCCAGTTTTAAAAAAAGACGATGTATACATTTTGCAGATAGATTTCCTCAGCTGCTAACGTGAAACTACTAATCTTTGTTATGGATCGTACATTCACCTCTCAGTCAGTAACCAACACAGGAGTCAGGTAATCTGCATGGTTATCATTTGTCGGTTATTTTAAATATGAAACCAATGAGGTTGTAGATGAGGAGTGTATAGTAAAAACATTAAAAGGTTACAAACAAGAGGATGCCATTTGGCAGATCAAGGCCATTAGTAGCTAATTGATCTGAGAATTTCATGCAAACATTTTTCAACAACATGGGTGGGTAGCTTGTTCCAGATTCCATGATTGTGTATAGTACGTAAGATGTACTATATACTGTATTTTCTAACCTCTTCTTCCAATATCAGACAGGATGGACGAGACACCAGTCCATTGCAATGGATACACAGACACACACTGACACCAAGGCCAACGTTCTCAGAAACCAATTAACTTACCAGTCATAATGCTACCAGTAGTGTTTTTGGACTGTGGGAAGAAACTGGAGCACCCAGAGAAAACCCATGGAAGCATACAGAGAGATGCCACGCAGATAGCATCCAAGAAACTGAACCCAGGACCCCAGAACTGCAAAGCAGCAATGCTTATCAATGTGCCACCTCCATTTTATACATGTTTTGGAAAAATAAAATTCTTTATATTTTTCTCCCACCCATTGGTGAACTATCCCTCTCAGTTAGCTTTAACCAGACTTACTCCTTCCTCTTCCCCACCCTATTTGAAGGGAAGGGAAGTTTGCCCTCTTCCTCTTTACGGTTGTATTCATCTCGCATATGAGCCTCTGTCTCTCTCCTACTCTAAGCACCTCACCTTCTCTGTAACTAGCATGCCCATGTTCTACTTAAGAGCAATAAACCAGAGAGAGCCTGCAGGGAAAAGGTAGAATCGCTGTAATGTATAAAAATGTTTGTGTTCATTTGATTAATTTATCATTCATTGCTCATTACCTATTATATACTCAAGTGACTGTTGTGTATGAAATAGATAAGCTCACGAATGAGGCATGACGTGATTTAACCTGTCCAATGTCAAGCCTGTTGAAAAAAAAAGAAAGGAAAATACAGGAATGAATCAAAATACACCATTATAGTATTGAGAGAACAACACCTTTGCGCCACCTATATTTCGGAGGCCACCCAATGATGCCCACCTCTGCTGAACTTGCCAGTTGTGGAGCCAAGTTCTCTTTAGCAATGGATGAAGGTTTCCTCCCTTCTTATCCTGTTATAGATGAAATATTTAAGTTTTGAAAAGACTGACCATCCTAAAGAACAACTGTCAGTGTGATGCAGACATGCAGAACACAATGGTTGTGCACAATGGACTACTCAATGGGGTCCGAGTGTGATGGTCTGGGCAGGGCAGTCTAGTTACTACTAAACTCCACTTGTAATCATGGATGGCACCCTTACTTCATAGAGCTACTTTGATCAAGATCTGGGATCTCATTTCCTCTGAGTGTATCCTGATGTGACATCATCCCATCAGTATGTCCTCATGCTGCTTATGTAACAGCTTTTCTCGTGAGATGAGATATGCGAGAGGTATGCTGTGGTGCCCTTCAAGGCAAATGTGAGCGCTTATGAACAGTTGTGGCCTGTGTTGGCAAGACATTGGCATGACATGAGGTATCTGGGTTCAGAGACCAGTGAACTGGCACATGCTTCTTTGGGCTTTATGAAAGGAACGGGACAGAATTTTACAATAAAGCATTACCTTGTTTATGACAAATGTTAATCAGAATCACAAATTGCCCATGAATGGTCTGCTCAATCAAATGTTACAAATGTTCATTGCACAAGGTGACAACTTTATTTCAGTGTTGTTAAACATCACTCACAGTAGGCTAGGCTGATGAGGAATGATAGCCTAGGCTCATAAATGTTTATTCTTCATTTTCTCTTTTTGAAGTGGATTTCTCCCCAGATGGAGACATGGAGTGCAAATTCAAACAAAAATAAGATAAAGTATTTGATTATTGGCATGCCGTCAATAAGGCCAACCATAGTTCATAATTCAAGGTATAATCCATTTTCTTATTTTATAACACCAACCTAGTATCCTCATCAGCCTAGCCTACTGTGAGCGATGTTTAACAACAATGAAATAAAGTTGTCACCTTGTGCAATGAACATTTGTAACATTTGATTGAGCAGACCATTCATGGGCAATTTGTGATTCTGATTAACATTTGTCATAATAACAATATTGTTATTGTCATCCTGTAAAGCGCTTTGAGAAGCCACCTTTAAAGGCGCTATATAAAATAAAGTTTATTATTATTATTAATAGTACAATATAGCTTTTGCTTTGATCTTTCCACCGGGAATTTAAGTTTGACTAGTTTCACTAACAAGTGCCATGTAAGTTTGGTTAATGCATCAGGAAGAACTTTGGTGCTTAGCACGCAGTCTTATGTCGCTAATATACGAATACAGTCCATGTAGTTTGTTAATTGTTTTGTGAGGTGAACAAATTCAAAAATACAGTATTCTATATTTAAAGCGAATCGCGTTCTAAATCAGTGTAATCCACATTCAGCCTCTATGCATGGTATTTTTTTAAACCGGTGCATCAATCACACCCCATGTGTAAACCGCAAACTTTCGAAAGTCTTCGTTTTCAAAGTAATTTGTCGTGTCAACCGAATTCCGTATTTTTTATATACCCTCCCAATATGGCCGAACCCGTTTCACCGGTTTCAAAGTCCTTTCTGATTTTTTCGAAACACGCCATTTTTATTCTATTAGCAATCATACGTAATTTAATCTCAATGTACATGTCACTTCAAAATTGCGTGCGTTACATAAAACTATCATTTCGATTCAGTTATTTGTCCCGTCATGCATTGTGCCGTGAGCGTCACTTCCTTTTCCAGCCGCACAGGGCTGTCAAGGTGCTGTGTCAGTTCCTTATTTGGTACAGACTAATAATACTTATTTAAAAACGTTTTCTCTTGTTCTTTCGTGTTTATTACTATGGCATCCCCCAGCACTTACCGGCTTAGTTGCTCCATCCCGGGACATGAAATGGATGTCAGGGGGTTGGCAGCAACTCTCTTCCCGGACGGAGCCTTTGTCTCGGTATCTCGAGACAGAACTGCCAGACTATGGATCCCAAACACAAGGTAAATTGCTCACTTTGTGCTGAAGTAATGTTTCTGCGTTTTAAAAGTTTTTTCAGACTGTTTATCTTTTGGAGTTTAATAATTCTAAAGTCTTATTTTCACTTTCGATATGAAGGTGTTCTTTAAGTTTTATGGTAAACGATAGATGACGATAATTTAAAAACAAAATGCTATTCTCGTAAGATTTTGAGTTCGTAAGCGATTGAAAACAATAGTGTCTTTAAACTTTCTACCGGTGAAGCTGAGCCATTTTTTATCTTTAACATTTCACTTTTCAGTCAGTACCTTAAACCATTACATGGATTGGTTTAATACTGAACATTATTTCATTAGATCACAAAGGTATACTTTGAGTGAATCATATCGTTGAGATGTTTGTAAATGGGGATCTCAATCATTTAGATGCTTTTCATTGATATTTCTCTGATCCTCTTAGTCGAGTAGTAACATCCGGTTGGCTGTATAGTCATCCTTTTAGTGTCAGGACCTTGTACAGCTGTTCTTCGGAGTAGTAAGAAGGAAGCTGTATTAGACAATTCCATGAAAACATCTCACAAGTCAAGAAAAGGCTCCTTACATGTCTTGTTTTAGTGAGCCTGAACAAGGGCTTTACAATTTTTAATGATGTTTAAAAGTTATAACCATTTATTTGTTTCATCGTGCTATTATTAAGCTCTTAAACTGTCTGTTTAGAAGCTACGTTGAGTAGTAATTGTAATTGCTTCTGTACATACATTTTTTCCAAAGGATCCCAAAGTGCTTCATATTCCACCACTGAACTGTAGTTTTTATTATGCACAGGCAGCCCTGATACATAACAGATCAGCTGGGGAAGCAAGAAATTAACTTCATCAATGAAAAACACTAGAGAGGCCAGGTTATGCAAGTCCATGTGGAATGTAGCCTGGACACTGGGGTTACAAACCCTACTCTTATGAACTGCCGTGAGATCTTAACTGAGTATTAAATCAGGACCTCAGTTTAATGCAAAGGATGGTGCCTTCTACATCTCAGTATCATTATACAGAGGTGTTGATTGGGAAATTCTGATCTAGTAGAAAGAGCATCATCTACATTTCCACCAACACCATTTACAACAGCATCTTGTTTTCTTTAGCGATCTCCCATTGCAGTGCTCAGCCTCTTAGATCTAAATAAGATCAGGATCAGGTGATAGTGCCACTGCAAGTTGTACTAACACAAGCTAGTTGCTTGATTTTAGAGTTGCTCAACGTGTTTAGTAGCCTCCATTTTCTTGGCAGGTTGTTGTATCTTGTGTTACAAAGTAATCAAGGAAACATGAAGCAAATCTTCAGTGATAAACATTAATCTTTGCTCGTACAAACTAAAATCTAAATCCCCTCCTGCAGGGACATTCATAAAGTCTTATGTCGAAGATTACATGACTGCTCATTTACTTAAACTGGAATCTTAACATTAAAGATGTTGATGATGTTCATTGTTTTCTTGTTCTTTGCTCTTAACTTAATGCTTTTATCATTTTTCTGTGTGTTTAGTCCAAACAGGGGTTTTACAGAAATGCACTGTATGAATGGTCACACCAATTTTGTGTCATGTGTGTGCATCATAGCTCCCAATGATGCCTACCCTCAGGGCCTAATAGCAACAGGGGGAAATGACCACAACATCTGTGTTTTTTCATTGGACAGACCCGACCCTCAGTACATTCTCAAGGGTCATAAAGGCACAGGTAGGTGGTTTCTGCTATTCCATTCATAGAAACGTATTGGAGAAAATGAGGTTTGCGCCTGTCCTGGAAACATAGAGCACAAGGCAGGGCTGACAGCACACAACTACTCTTCTCCTGGAGTGAATGTTAGTTCATTGCAGGGTCATGGTGAAAGAGGTGATATAGTATAGCAAATCAAGCCTCACTATTATTAGTTTAGATGATGCAGCTCCCAGAAAATATCCATGCAAACCCAGGGAGACCATGCACACTCCACACAAATGGTGCCCAAGCCTGTAACTCAACTCTGGGACCCAAGAGCATAGCCAGAGCACCAAGTCACTCTGTAGCCCTACTGATTTTGTGAAAAAGAGAAATCTTAAAAGCCTATAAAGATTACCTGAAGCATGGTTATTGCTAATGGAAACTTTTTTTTTGGATGTGCTATAAAATCAAAAAGATGTATTTAATTTGATGACTCCTTTAACTAGCACCCTGGAAACATATGTGTAAAATATTACAACTTCATTCTGTTTTAGTAGTGAAAGGAAAAAACAGGTGTTAACACGGCTTTTGTCTTAATTTTATGAATTTGTATTTGTCTTTAGATGGTGTAAAAGTATATGGCTTTTCCTTTTGTAGACTTCTACTATATATTGGCTTCTTTGTCATTTGGGTAGGCTGCCAGCGTCGGTTAAATTTTGTTAGACCTACTGTTTTTGTTTAGAACGTGAGAGACACAAAAGCACTGTGCTTCCACGGTTATTGACAAGACATTTGAATGCCATTACATTATTGTAAGAAAATGAATGGTTCCTAGGGAAAATGTGACAACTTCAAGTCAGAAAATAAAGCTTATAATCCAAATCATGTCCATAATTGTTAACATCGTCTGCTCTAAATTGTTAAATTGGACATGAAATTGGACTCCACAGTCTGCTATGTAACCTACTCTTTTAAATAGATAAAACATGCCACCTGACAGGTGGAACTTGGTATGTTTCTAGGTCTGATTGTTTCATTCTTCATTACATTGAACAGTGTAAGGTTTAAAAATATCTGCATCAAATTACCGTTGCTTTCAAAGGGCTCTTGTATTACATTTGCAGTTTAATTTGACAGCTGTTAAATTTTTTATTCACCTAAATAAGAAATAAAGCGTTCATTTCTCTTTGATCCCGCAATTAAAAATAGCCATATTACATCAAGTTTATTTACGATTTTGGTATGCATAGAAATAATTTGATTCTTTCCAGTTAAATGGATGTGTATTTATACCAGCCGTTTACAATTGAAGTGAACTGTGCAGTTTTACATTTTTCACCAAACTGAATTAAATTGCTCCATAACCTTATTATACTTTTAACACTTGTTACTCTTTCCTGTATGCATAGCTAATACCTTTGTTCTTTTATACCACTAGTTTGTGCGCTTTCTGCTGGAAAATTTGGTACACTCTTAAGTGGTTCATGGGATACTACAGCAAAAGTATGGCTTAATGAGAAGTGCATGATGACTTTACAGGTAGGGGACAAAGATTTTGTCCAGAAGCTAATTTTCTCTGAGTTAGTAGGTATGGGGTTCATGTTTAGGGTGCATCCTGAGATCAGAAACACACTGAAGTCTAATAAGATTAGGAGAAATCCTTGACATTTGGGAATGACACATGGTCTAAATATTTACCAAGCTCTTAAAGTATTTTTATAGTGACTGAAAGTTACTGTGACATTAGTAACTTTCCTAATGTTGCCAAAGCATTACCAGAGCATTCCATGTAATTCAGTATATTGACAACACCTTTATTTACAGAATGGTTCTTATTTGTGTTTACAGGGTCACACAGCAGCAGTGTGGGCAGTAAAGATTCTGCCTGAACAAGGTTTAATGCTGACTGGATCAGCAGACAAAACCATAAAGCTATGGAAAGCAGGCCGATGTGAGAGAACATTTACTGGTACGTGTCCGCCCGTCTGAAATGACTTGAATGTCAAGCAGCCAGAGGATGGCAGTCTTGTTATTAAATACTGCCAGTTTGGTATTCTGAATGGGTTGAATTCCGCATGCAGCATTTTACTTCCTACCAAGTAATATTTCCAGAAATAAAACAGATTCCAGTTTTATAAGATGTGTTTTCTGATGATGGTTGAAAATAATACTGTACCTGATGTATATATTTATAGATTATATTTTGTCTGATATATTTAATTTGTGAAACCATAAATGTTTCACTAACATAAAGGCCTACCCACATAAACCTTTTCTAAATAATCCAAATGCCCTTAACCATTTAAACAATATTAATATTGGTGAACAAACATGAACATTTTTAATGAATGTAAATAAGTTTTCCTTAAAAGAAGCACTGGTGTCACATAAGAAGAAAAGAATGTAAGCTAATTGCTAAGAAAAACATTCCAGACATGAACGTGGCAAGAAGCAGAAGGTTCAATAAAGCAGGAGGAGCCTGGTTTTTGAGACTTTCATTAAACTTATAAAAGATTGTTCTCTATGACTTAGTAACTTTAACTTGTCGCGCTGAACAAATGTGCCTGTTTGCTTTGATGTTACAGGTCATGAAGACTGTGTCAGGGGCCTAGCTGTAGTGAGCAACACAGAGTTCTTCTCTTGCAGTAATGATGCCAGCATTAGAAAGTGGCTTGTGACTGGGGAGTGCTTACAAGTTTACTACGGACATACCAACTATATTTACAGCTTGTTTGTCTTTCCAAACGGAGAAGGTACGCTTTTTACTCTCATACCGAGTGCAACAATCTCTATAAAATGCATAATAGCAAAAGACTTTATTCGCTCTATTTTATACTACTATACTCCAGGCACGTCCAGCCTAGCTCCCTAGGAACCCCAGACCAGCAGGTTTTACAAGTGACCATTATATTGCCAATTGCTTAAAACATGGAAAAATCTGCAGTCCAATCCAGATGATTCTAAATTATAGATTGTTTAGAACACAAATCTCACGGGCAATTTACAAGTGTTTCCGGTTTTTATAAATGAGTGATTTTTAGGGTGCCTTAAACAGTGTGCACTGCTCATGTCCATGAGTCCAGGAGGAGACTGTCCAGGCACTAGCTTCACCTTATTTAGGGTCCATTATGGGATGGACCACCAAGCTGTTGAAGAAAGTTGAAAAGCTGTTATGTGATTGCCCTGTGTTATTGTGTTGTTTTCCCTGCCAAATATAACTAAAAAAGTGATGATAAAAAAAGTTTGCTGGATTTGGGCTCCGCAGAACCAAGTTTGGAGATGTAAAGTTTAGTCAAATCTGTAGAAAGTAAGTGGTGGTTCTCTGTTGTTTTTATATAAGTAGATTTTGAAATATGGGTATGAAGTACTTAAAGGCGTGAGCAATAGTATGTTATGCTTTTAGGATATGGGGCAATAGGACAGAAGTAACAATATTATAATAAATGGAGATGGATTATGACAAAATGGACATTGGTCCTGGTATCATTTAACGTAGTTTGCCACAGTTACAATGTGCAGACTTACAATCACAATTGCATAGATGTGAATGGGTTAGGTGTAAGAACCATATAATCAAATACATCTATTCACCCATCTCTAGATCCATTTGTATCTGCAATGGCTGGCCTTTTACTCCTCTAAAGAAGACACATCTGTAATACCTTGTAGAAGTCGCACTCATTTTCTTCCATTTGTTATAGATTTTGTATCCACTGGAGAGGATCGAACCATACGGGTATGGAGGAAGGGTGAATGTACACAGACCATTCGCCTTCCTTCTCAGTCAGTATGGTGCTGCTGTGTTCTGCGCAATGGTGACATAGTTGCAGGTGCAAGGTACTTCACAGCATAGTTTTTGTACTGTTACAGTATGTAAATTAAAGATTTGAATGATTTCCAAAATAGGCTCAGAGAGACACATTTTGTTCAACACTGTTAAACTTAAAATGTATCTATTACCTGTACTATTGGATGGAATGGGAGACCTCCTGGGAAAAACTATTGTTGCTGCTGGAATAGGTATTAGTGGGGCCAGCAGGGGGCGCTCACCCTGTGGCTCATGTGGGTCCTAATGCCCCAGTGTAGTGACGGAGACACTATACTGTAAACAGGCGCCGTCCTTCGGATGAGAAATCTCTGTGGTCATTAAAAATCCCCAGGGTGTTTCTCGAAAAGAGTAGGGGTGTAACCCCAGCGTCCTGGCCAAATTTCCCATTGGCCCTTCCAATCATGGCCTCCTAATAATCCCCCTCTATGAATTGGCTTCATCACTCTGCTCTCCTCCCCACTGATAGCTGATGTGTGGTGAGCGTTCTGGCGCACTATGGCTGCCGTCGCATCCAGGTGGATGCTGCAAATTGGTGGAGGGGAGTCCCCATTACCTGTAAAGCGCTTTGAGTGGAGTGTCCAGAAAAGCGCTATATAAGTGTAAGCAATTATTATTATTATTATTATTATTATTATTATTGGAATTTTAAGCTGGGACGAAAGCTACTATTTCATTTGTAAGATGTTATGGCAAAATTATTTTTTTGACCTGAAGTTATATGCATCTTCACCATTTCTTAAGATAAATTGGGATGAAACTGGTTGTGATCTTCACATGAAATTCTTTGTCCCTTTTAGTGACGGCATCATCAGAGTGTTTACAGAGTCAGAAGAGCGAGTGGCTAGTATTGAGGACCTCCAGGCTTTTGAAGATGAGCTTTCCAAGACTACCATCGACCCCAAAACTGAAGATTTAGGCGACATTAAAATGGAGGAACTTCCAGGAAAAGAACATCTAAATGAGCCTGGTACTCATTTTTTGGTATTCTCTGCCTCTTTCCTTGTAATTACACCAGCTAATTACATTGCAGTTATGTTGGCAGAGGCAATAATAGAAAGGTACTTGTTAAAGCACATAAAGGCATGTAACCCATATTGCCTTTTGTGCATCAGTTTGTATCTTATTCCACAGCCTAAGTGGTCATTCTTTGTACTGGATCTGCTGTGTTGCATGTTAAAAGAGCAGATCTGCTGTATCCCCACTGGTGTTGCTGCAAGTGGAGTGACGGCAGTTTGCCCTTGTGCTGCTCAGGTACGCGGGAGGGGCAGACGCGCCTGATTAAAGAAAACGAGAGGGTGGAGGCGTACCAGTGGAGTGTGAGCGGTGGCCGCTGGATGAAGATCGGGGATGTTGTGGGCTCCTCTGGAGGAACTCAGCAGACTTCAGGGAAAGTACTTTATGAGGGAAAGGTCAGTGGGGCACATCACAGTTATTTCAATGAATCGTATCAGTCTAATGTTTGGGATATATTAAAGTGTCTCTTTGAAGATTCCAGCTTCCTCAAGAGATGGATGCAAATTCTACTCTACCGAACTGTATAAATCTTCACTGTAGACTTAATTTTTCTTCTAACAGTTGTAACGGTTTAATTAAACCATATGATATTCCATCCATTACTTTCATACCATATTGATGAACGCAAACTAAATAGATAATACTTTATTAATCCCGTAGGGAAATTGATGTGTTACAGCAGTCCAGCCCATCATCAGTGAAGAAGCTCATTATCCGAGTAACTTCATTGTTTGATAAACTGCATGATAAATGCTTTATAGTTCAAATGAATCACCTGATCCACAGATCCTGTCAAAACTTGTCTCTTTTACAGGAGTATGATTATGTTTTTACCATTGATGTAAATGAGGGAGGCCCTTCAATGAAGCTTCCATACAACATTGCAGATGATCCCTGGTTAACAGCACACAATTTCCTACAAAGGAATGACTTGAATCCCATGTTTTTAGACCAGGTAGCAAACTTTATCATAGAAAACACGAAAGGAAACACAGTAGGACGAGCACAATTTGGGAGCTCTGATCCTTTTACAGGTAGGTGCATTTTACTATCATTTAATTGCTTAAGATTTTTTAGTCAAATTGGCCGTTCAATAAGAAGAAACACATCTTAAGGCATAATATAATTTTGTTTCTGAAAGTACAAGTTTTCTAAAATGATGTACGTCTTGAAAGATTACTTTTTTGAAATGGGCAGCATAACATTTGTAACTTTACGTGAATATTTTGTGTTCCATTTCACAGTTAATGAGAGAAGTTGGAAACAGTTGTCACTTGTAAATGTTATAGGTTTCACTGAGTGAATTTTGTGAATCAGGCTCTAATGAATGTTTGTCTGCAGGTACAGGCCGCTATATACCTGGGTCAGCTGAAGGGCACGCAGGAATGGGTGCTGACCCATTTACTGGTAAGTACAGTACCCATTTTGAAGTGTAGAAATTTGTATTCATTTGTCAAAGTGAAAGCCAGAATGGTTGATTTATATGTGAGAGGCAACTATCGCCAAACAATAATAATGGTTGTAAACATAAACTCATTGCAATTTTCATATTGCTGTTATCTAATCATCAATGTTCCATATTTACTATTTGTTTTGTGATATCCCTTTCATTCTTGCCTTGTGCTAATTCTGTTTTGTAATTAAAACTCTGCTGAGAGTGATGTGTTCCAGTTATCACAAGCACTGTGTGTTAGTGTTATGCTCGTTAAGCAGTTTTCAAGTGATGCTGATCATTAATCCCAGGCTTTTAACTCAATTTAACTCTCATTTATTTCTGCAGTGTATCACTTGCTATATAGGTGTATATATATATGTCCCTTACAATGTCTGCAAAACCTGCAAAGAAAAATTGGAAGCTAGAATATGTTGAATAAGTATTTACTCCCTTAGTACTTGCTGGAAGCAGTTAGAGCTGTCTTTTTAGAGTCTTTATCTATCTTTTTGGATAAGTCTCTATGATCTTTTTACACTGTGTTCATATGCTTTTTTTGCACAAAAAGACATCTCGTACTCGGAGAGTAAGTTTTTCTAATCTTGGATCTAGCAAATAAGCAATGACATCCAATTGTATTTTGAAAGCTGGTAGGTCATAGAATATATGCCAAAAATGAAAGATGCTAGAAATGAATAATACTATGTAGCTGTTGTGCCTAATATTATGGTAATTTATGGTGTCAACTGCTTGAAGCATATTTACATCAAATGTGCCACAGCAAATGTGTTTGACACATCTGGCTTAGGTATTTAAGAAATGTAAATAGAATATAACTGTTTGCTGCCCAATGACATATTCAAACAGCCCATAGTACATTTTAAGGAATAAAATCAATGTTGCATATCTGAAGAGAGTTTGCATCACACTGACTCAGTTTTAATGTATTACCTGCTTGTCTTGTACAAGGTAAGCGTCTCATTTAAGTAAAGACTGGGAAGTTCAGTTTGTGTTTTGGCCACTAGAGGGTAGACTTTTATCATTTTGTTAACTTTGAGAGCTGTGTTTTTTTGTCTCATCCATCATCAGGTGGCTATTTACTCCTGGTAAGTGTTCCAGATTTCAGAAGCGCAGGGCTTAATTATGCTTGTACTGCACACAGGGGCAATATTACAGAAACCAGTAAGTCTAGGCAGCATGTCTTTGGGAAATTCTTTTTTCAAAGTGAAAGGCATGTTGCTATGGTTTAAAGGATGTTTTTTAAGTTTCAGGATAGAGAATGGAATTTGCTATTACTTAAAGATGACGATTGTAGTTTAATATTACCATACTTTAGGTTGTCCTTGTCCTTTAAACCTTACATTTTTTTTCTTGCCTTTGTAGGTTCTGGGCGCTACATCCCAGGTTCAGATTCAAACACAGTTGTTCCTGCAGGTTTTGCTGACCCATTTACAGGTTGGTCTGACAACAATAGCTCCTTTTCTTTTTCAGGCTTCAAGAAAGTAACAGGATATATGTGTGTAAAGACTAGCTGAACTGAAGTGCTTTAATGCAGTAGCAGTCTTCCCATCTAATTTCTACTTGGCATTTTTCTATTACTGCATTAGTATGCAGTTGTTTTGCTGTGATAAATGTAGTCATGATATTTGTGGAGACATTTTACATTCATATACGATGTACTATGCAGTCCATAAAATGTCATGTTAAAGGTTGTAATGTAGTGTTTTTTTGGTATCTTATGGAGATTCTTCCTGCTCTCGGTTCACTCAGTTTTTTTTTTTCTTCTAGGTGGAAGTGCATACTCCTCTGGTTTGCTCCGACAACCAACTGTAAACATTTATTTTCCAAAGCTTGATGCTGTGACTTTTGAACAAGCAAGTGCAACACAAATATTAGGTACCCGGTTCTTTTATTGCTGATCACTTTAGTTTTTCCTGAAGTACTGGACTTTTGATTGTCGTTCGGATGTTTATTTTATCCTTTAGTTCTGAAAGTACAGAGCAGACAAAATGATCTTAACCCTATACACATACAGCAAATCAATCGTCGTAAGGACACAAGCATTTTAAGGTTTTTAATTGTAAGTAGGAGAGTAGCAAATGTTTTCTTTGCGTAAAATATTAAAATGCATAACTGACAGTGTTTGTATCAAATTAAATGGTAGTAAAGTGCACATGAACACTGTACCTTTTAAGTACTATCTGTCAGCTTTTAATTGAGTTTTTCAACCATAGTTTGGAAGGAATTAAACATCTAATCTCACTCACCATACTCTTATGTTTATATATCTAACCTCCTGAGCATATTTTGATTGCGCACAATGTTTGCTCTTGCCAGAAACAGACCCTACCTTCCAATTCTCCATACCCACTTTTCCATCCTCCAAAGTTCCTGCCAGTCCCTGCAGCTGTGGGCGCCTTTGCTCAGCTCCCACCCCATCATCTCCTCATGCTTTCCAGCTTTTCTGTCACGGCCAGACCCAGCAAATCAGACTACCGTTCAAGCCATTTCAACGTCAGGGGTCCAACCCCTCGATCCTGCAGCCCCAGCCTATCTCTGGTGTTCATCTCTTCCCCATCCTCAGTTCTCCTTTCCTGCTGTCCCCATGGGAGCCTACTAGCTTCTGATGCTGGTTTTGCCCTGTAAGTGCAAGTACACAGTGTCAGTCTGCATTGGATTCGAGCTCCTTTTCCACAGCCCTCTTCCCCCCTCCCAAGATCTGTTATCTGGTACCATGCTGGTCCCTGTCTCTCTGCCTGCCCACCACTCCTCACAAGGCTTCCACCTGCAGCAGAGCAGGCAGAGAGCGTCATTTTACCCATTTTAATTGCTGTTTTGGGGGGTTCTTACTGGAATCTGTCCTGATTTATTTTTAGCAAATGAACGAAACTCATTAGTACACTTAGATTCAATACTTCAGCCTCAGTTCTGCTGTTAACCCCATAGCCTCTTCTTTCTTACTCCCTTTTCTTTTCTCAGTCTGCCATTTAATGCATTAAGTGACAAGCATCACCAAATGGTTATTACTGGCCCCTATTCTATAACACTTTGAGGTAACCAATGCCGATAGCTTTGGGTTACCTCTTCCGGGTTGACACGGCATATTCTGCAGGTCTTTGTGGAATACCGGTCTCTACTAATCAAACCCTAGATCAGTGCTCCTCTTAACTTGTATACTGTATATCCAGTCTTTTGCAATCAACCAAAAGCTGTAGGTTGACTGTAATGTCAAGGGTCACATTTCCTCAGCTAGATGAGTTGCACAAAATCTTCATACCTATAAAATTCCAGTCTTGTTAGAGTTTGACTGAACTACTGACATAACATTGGGAGGCAGATGTCTCTGCACCAAAGAGGTTTAAGATGATTACTTTTGGTGATGAATACTTCATAGTCTAATCGTGTAATTTATAGCAGTTTTAGTAGTAAAGTTCAATTGACTAGAACCATATTGTAACCATATGCTTGATTTTGTTGTACTGTTTTGGATGGCAATTTTATCACTTAGATGCAGTGATTTCATAGTATTCATAGTGCTTTTTAACGAGCCTTGATCATTTCATGAGGTCTTTTCTTTGTTAAAAAATCTCATATCTCAAAAACATGGTCTTTTACAGTCTTCAAACATGAAACCTCTGCATGTACAGTAGGTCAAATACATTTTAAATTGTTTTGCATCACCTATAAATGTTATTTTCTATATAAGTTATAGAATTGTTATTTTTTTAACAGATAATGCCTTTGGAGGGATACTTTATGATGGGATAGTTGCTGCTTAATCATTGTTATTCAGTAAAAAGTAACATCTTTTTTCCATTCTTAGCCAAATTGAAGGAACTCAACATTAGAGCGCCTGAAGAACAAAAGCTTTCCGATGATTCTTTCCAGAAGCTTGAAAAGCTGCTATCGACTGTGGCAAATCTCAAATCTGAAGAAAATCCAACTGCTGAACAGATTGAAATACTATGGAAGACTACTCACTGGCCTGAAGGTATTAATTTCTGTCACAAAGAGTGTATGAAAGCTACTATGGATGGTTAAAACTGGTTTTTACTACTGTGTCCAAATTTTTGTTTCTTACATTTTTAAAGCACTGGGAAAACATACCAGATTGTTCAATCTAAACCAAATTCAATTTTTTTAATGTTAAAGTATTTTAAAATTCCCACTACTCTGAAGTAATACTTTGATAGTGTTTATGGAGACTTAAGACTTCCAGAAAGAAAGGATGATTTTAAACCAGGGTGGCAACCTCATGAAGAGCCACATGCCCGCATGGAGACACATGGCTCCAAAGCACGTGCCTATGGCAAAACATATGCTCAATGAAGAAAATGCAGATAAAAAATCAGCTATGCATTTAATTATCAGGACTTTTGATTTATATCTAAAACCCACCTTACCCATTCTTAGTGTCATGGTTGTCGTTAATTTTGGTAGGCATGGAGTACAGTATAAGATTTTTTAGTCTTAGGATTGTTTAAGAAGCCAGCAGGAGGGCACTCACCAGGCCATTAATTAAGTACCTTATCCTAACTCCTTTTGTCTTTTCTCTTTTAGACATTGTCTTTCCTGCCCTGGATATCCTCCGCCTAGCAGTGAGACACCCTGTAGTGAATGAAACCCTGTGCAATGAAAAAGAGGGTATCCAGTTCTGTAATCACCTTTTGAAGTTGATGGCACTGCAAGGGAAGCCTGCCAATCAGATGCTGGTACTCAGGACTCTGTGTAATTGTTTCTTAGGCCAGTGGGGGCAAATGCTAATGATGTCACAGAGGGAAACAGTGATGTCGCAGGCCATGGAACTGAAAGCTGTCGCCAATAAGAACATTCACATTGCACTGGCCACGCTAGTTCTCAATTACGCAGGCTGTCTCCACAAGCTCAGTGACCTTGAAGGCAAGGCTCAGTGCCTTTCCATGGTTAGCACAGTTCTTGAGGTGGTACAAGATAAGGAAGCAGTCTTCCGGCTCCTGGTGGCACTTGGAACAACTGTCACCAACGACAGTACCGCCAAGGATCTGGCCCAGTCTCTTGGAGTGAAATCTCAGATTACTAAGTTTTCCACTGTATCAGATCCTGCTAAAGTAGGAGAGTGCTGTAGCCTTCTTCTAAATGAACTGCAGTAATTTGATTTTATCTTTATATATTTACGAGAAAATAAAAAAACTACTCACAGAAGTGCTGCAATAAAAGATGTTAAAGTTATCTTGTAAAGCATGTTTCTTTTCACATCATGACAGGTTTAAGGAAACTTGTATTTCAGCGTTCTGAGAGCAGTCATAAGCTGTTCTTAACCTAAAAGCACAAATGATTTAATGTCCAGAAATGTAGTTACTGCTTGGAAAATGCTAAATGATCTTACTCTAAGTTAATGTTAATGTTAGTGTGAAGGGTGGCTGTAAAAGAAAATTGACAACTGACTTGAATCTACAACAAGTGAACCACTTTGAAAGCTCTGCACCATCAAGCCATCTACCGATCTAAGTATGGTGCAAAAAAATTAAAACTCACAATATCGATGTAGGAGTGCACTTTATTATTGAGTTTCTATAAAGTTTATTATTAGGAAAATCTGCATACTTTACGCACACATTTGTATAAAGAAAAAATGAAGGAATAAATGTAACGGTTTTAAATAAGTGCATAGTGTCTTGTATGACCCATCTGGAATATTAGCTGTGATGTAACATGACAAAACGACTGTTCAAACTCTTAAAACATTTATTTTATTTGGGAATAAAATGCATACATTCCACTCACAGACTTTTAGTCAGCAGCACTTGAGTAACTTAACAGGTTTCAGAGTTCAGCACTCCTCAGCAGTACAACATTTCATCTACAGTTTAAAACAATTGGCAAAAAGTTGCAGTAGTCCTACAGAGTTTTAATATGAATTCATAACCTTTTAGTATTCATTTTTACTTACAAAGTATTGCAAACCTTAGTCAGTCATTAGTTATCTATTATAATAGACTGATTCCTAAACAGTTTTCCATGGCACTAATGATAAAGATTTTTTGCATTGCAAAGTATTAAAAAGTTTGTTACAGCATGGTCTTCTGCTCATCTGGAGTCAAAGTTGCATAAACTGCATGCACTTGCTGTTTAGTGCTTCTTTGTTTAAAAATATTTCATATTTGTTTGAATAGAAATTGTTTTCGGAAAGACTACTGCAAGCCATCTGAGGGCATGTTCCATAGAATAAATTGGTGAGGCACAATTAATTGAAGCCTATATGACGATCTTTAGAATCCTCAGTAATGCTAATATACCCTCACCTCTGAAATTCCTCACATACAGCCCTGAGCAATCGTTTGAGTAGCCAGTACCTACTTTAATAGCTAGTTAACATGGCAATTAATAAAACAAGAAAAACCCAGAGATAACACATTAAAATTGGATTGCTAAAGTAATGTCAAAAACAACAGTACCCGTGGGATGTATGTTTTGTATATAGGGAACAGTTGTAGAAACTTGCACATAACCATTTTTTAAGTTCATGTAAAGCTGAGCATAAAACAGAGAGTAATGGAGGCAATCGGATGGTTTTCTTTAGAAAAACACAAATGATTGTCTGCATCACATTCTTTGCATGCATCATCTAAACTGTCAATTAAATGGGTGTGCATGAAATTAAAAGGTTAAACTGAAAAAAATGATGAACTATCTTTCTCTGAATGTGATTGTGATATTTATTTCTACTTCTTCAGTATAAAGAGAATAATGGAGCTGCCAATGGAGTCACTGCACAATTGCACCGATTACAAAGATTAAGAGTTAGTTTATGCATGCATCCATTTTACAGAGGAAATTCAATGGTTGAAACAGCAGTCCATGTCAAAAGGTATCTCAGTATGATGGACTACACAGTGTAGGATTAGTCCCACTGGACTGGAGCTGCTTATCTTACTCTGCAGCTGCACTAAGAACTCCTGTGGCTGAAGTACCTGTGAAGAAATGTTTCAAATTCATCTCCCAGTGGTAAAGGTGGCCTTTAGTTTGGTATTCCTACAAGATGACACTCAAGGGTTCACCCAACCCAGCTCAATAATCAGGTTGAACACCTGTTGGCAACCACATTAGAAAGGGGTATAATTAATTGATAGTTGTGTTTTCATTGAGGTAAACTATTGCTGTAAAGGATCTTTTCACTTGTTCTGTACCACTGCAGTATTGTCATGATTATTAGATCAGCTTAGTAAAGCTGACTTTACACAGTAAATATTGGGTATATCAATTATAATAACTGTCACATGGAAAGGAAACCTTCTTAAAGCCCACCATTACACTGTAATGTGCTGCTGCTGTTTAAAGGTTTCCCATTTCCCAATTTCTTTTTTAAATTATACTTTTTAAAAAGAATCACAGAAAACATTTAACAGTCACATAGTTTATGAACCAACAACAGCCTAAAACCAGCATGTGAGTGTGCTAATACATTTTTTTTTAAAAAGCAAAAGTTCAGCATCATGGATTCAAGACATCATATTACTATCAGTCTGTAGCATTGCATAAACTCAGCAATGTTACAAATCTGGGTTTATATTGAAATACAACCTGGCTCAAACTGTACAGTCAGTAAAAATAAGAACCCCTTTTTTATTTTCCAAAATACCCAGTTGATATCAGTAGACTCAGTTAATAAAGTGCACGGTCTATCAAGCAAGATATTGAGTAAGGTAGTCAAACATTTTGTGAAAGGGGTTTCATTTTCAATGTCTATATTTTATTTCTGTGTAGCTGTAGAATCTAATTTTCATGTTTTTTTTCTTCTGACAGCCCATGCTAGTGAAATCCAAACAGAGACATCCTTGCACTGAAATGCTGGGCGATCACTTCTAGCTACAAGCAACCTGTTAAAGCCTTAACATTGCAGTGTCTCTTACTAAAACAAAGCCCCTATCAATATATACAACAATCTCCAAATTATAGATAAATATATATGTATAGGGCAGCAGTGTGGATTGACACATTTAACGTGGTTTACTGGCTCTACAAGTAAATGATAAAACTACCAATTTATGAAATATATGTGTTATACAGTATATGGATTTAGCAGTTGTAGCAGAAACTAATCAAAAACAAAAATAGTACTCATAAAACTTCATATTAATTTGCCTGTTAGGAGGACATAATCAGAAATACTGTATATCTGCAGAAAGTATAGCATAATTTTAAAATACTTTACCACTTTATAAGAAGGCCCCCATAGCTCTCTGGTTCTTTCTCTACAAATAGTCCCAGATGGGTAAATAAATTCAATAAATTCTGTATTGAATATTTATAACACAGAACAGGTTGTATGTGAGATTATTCATAACGGAAATCTGGAATGAGCAGCACAGTTGTACATACTACAGGTTGCATGTAGTCGAGATCAGAAGTCGAACTTAAGGTAAAGAATGGCAAAGAGTAAGGACTAACTGAAAGAAATGACTGACAAAGCACAGAAAAATGACTCGACTTGAAACAGCAGTTCATCTCTGTATGATGGACTACACAGTGTAGGATTAGTCCCACTGTCTGGACTGGAGCTGCTTAACTTACTCCTTCACAGCAGAGGTAAAACAGTTACAGAACATGATGCAGATTCAATATACTTATGTTAATGTTAAATTTAGTAAACGTTAGATAAATATCTTCCTAGTTTTTGTCATTTTTTGCTTCACAGAACAGTCAGGACTTGGGATTTGAATGACTTTGATAACCTTACTTTGAGTAAAGAGCATACAGTACAGTATTTGCTTTTATTCCTTTCTTGCTACAATATGCATGTCTAATAACTACAATTAAGATGCCTTCTGTGATCCAGTGTTAGAGAACTGTACAACTTATAGATTTGCCATTATGCACATATGTACAAAAAGAACATGTGCACCAAAATATTTTGTGTGAGATCATGAAACTACAGTGTGATAGAGAATGAAATCTGTTCTAAACACAATCTGCAGTTTTTCAAGTGTTCCACAACTGAGCCCTTTGTGGCTTGCTACTTATATGTTTTTCCTTTCATAAAAGCTTAATAGGCTTTACATGGTGTGTGAAATTATCTGCAATCAGGGCAGAGTTCTCTCCATGATTGTGTATATGTGTGAAGTAACTTCAAACAGTATTCAAAATCTCTTATTACCTGTATGACCATTCTGGCCTTTTGATTAAATGCATTAAGTCGACTAGTAAGATCTATGAAATGTACTAATCTCTACCAGCTTTATTGTTTTATGGCCCATTTCTATTCTATTATTACAGTATATTTTTTTAAAGAGGGCAGTTGTATTTATTCTGTTCACAAAACACACTTTCCTGCTGCTGACATGCAGTAATGTATTAAGGTCTGATTCTTAAGGGCTTTTTTATTATAGCTGTCGAAATACATTATAATTGTATTTGGATTTTCCTCTTTTGTGATACCTTCCAAAGTGCCATTCTGCCTAAAAGCCAACAGTACCGTCAGTACAAACAAAGCAAAAGAGCAGGTGACAGACTGTGAAAGTAAAACACTGTATGGATATTCTCAATATACTCTTAAAACTCATAAAACTGAAAATACTTGCCTTTCTGAAAAAGACAAAAAAAGTTATTAACATAGAGGTAAGTCAGGGATTTTCTTCTATAAAGGAAATAACAAAGTACCCTACCTAAGCCACTAATCTTTGACGTGAATGTTTTAAAATGTAAGAAAAATAGAACACTGTGATTTAGCTGTGCTCCAGTGTTTTGTCTCCTCCTCTAATGAACAGTCTCTCATTGAGATGCAAAACAAGTTCAAGTGTATTAGAATATGTGGTGATCAGCTTGCTCAGTAAATATTCTATTAAAGTCAAGAGGAATTTGAGAAAAAATCATATACAGTACCTTTGAAAAAATGATAGATTTCTAACGCTGAACACTGAACAAGTTGAAAGAGATGTACAGTACATAAAGCTAAAGTTTGCTATTATTTCTCACTTGTTATTGTACTGTATATTCCATCGTGCACTTCGTATTCCTCATGACAGGAGAGTGCAGAGGGGAATAAATACCAGTACTGTCACGCCAATTGAAGAGGTAACATGCTTTAATGTTTCTACCGCAAATCCAAAATAAGGTAGTGGGGACTGATGTACTGGGAGGAAAAAAAAGGCTGTTAAAGCAGACATCCCAGATGTGATGGTGTTTGAGGAAGACCCAAGTATTATTCTATAAAAGCTTTTAACTGCTCTTTATCATAAACTGGGGAAATTACAGCCAACAGGAAATACCTGGTAACATAGTACATAAAAGTATACTAAATGCTTCAATTGCACTGACACCTGAAACAATAGGCCCACCTATTTAACAGCTACTCCATTTCATAATACAATCAATAAATAAAGAACAAAAATAAGATATATCTGAATAGGACAGTAGTGATTTAAGGAATAATCCATTAATATTTTCAAAAAGAGGACCTTGCTAGACAAATACTGTTGGTTTCTTCAACAAAAGAATGTTGTGCATTTACAGACAGCATTTGACAAAGCATGTCACAAAATGAATCCTTTCATCATAAGGAGCTAATGGCGACCCTGGGAGATTATCAAACTGTGTACATCAAAAAGCAGAGTCCTGCACTACTCTAGATCAGAGCCTTTACCCTTCCAATGTCACATTCTGAGATGCAGTGGATTCACACGAACGAACAGCGGGAATATAACTTGAAAACAGAAAAGGAAGATTCAGAAATGAGTCGTGATAAAACAGGATGCCGTGTGTGCTGTATCTGACCACCAACGGCACCGAGACAATTCGACTTGTCTCACCATGAGCACTCTGGGCCTACTTGAGAAAAGAGAAGGACAGGAAAGCCAAGGAGACTGCACCAATGAGAACCAAATGCGCCATAATGTGCAAGGAGGAGAGCACCTTGGTAGACACGAGAACACAGACATCCAACCATACTGAAAGGGCAACACGCGACACAAGACAGAGCAGGACCAGCAGACACGTCCTGAGGAGCTGTCTCTTCCTGGGGACACCCACAGCAGAGCGCGGTCAGAGAGGGGACATCGGGAGGCTGCCAGGCTGGGCTCTTCACATCCAGGGCCCTTACACAGTCGTCCGACACTTGGGGAAGATCGGCCCGTTCAGACCCTCAAGCCTTCTCTTTCGCACTGTGGAAGGGGAAGTTCAATAATCTGAAACCAGCGCTGTGGCAATACTTCAGTTCCTTTCTCACTGCTTTTTCACACTGCTCTGTGATTTGGGCCACTGGTATGCATTCTCCTTGCTGGGCTATTGTTGAAAGAACACATTTTTAAAAGACTGAAGTGTACTAGAGGCTTTATTGTAAATAAAACATTTAGCTTGTGCTTATGTCCAAAACAACTTCTAACTGTACCCATTTACAAAACTGGGCTTTTTACTAGACAAATCTGTGTGAAGTCCAGTATTTTGCTCAAGGGTACAACAGCAGTGATCCCCCTGGGATTTAAGCCCACAAATCTTCAGTTCTACATCCAGAAATCTCCTCACTGCTGTCACAGTGGTGTCCTGGAACAATTATTATGTTTAATCTTCATTTCTCTCTTAAGTTTAGAGCTGTTGTTTATTTTCAACAGGTTTATGTTGTTGTCTGAAGCTTTATTCCTTTTAACTACAGGTATATCCAAGTAGTCTCTTGAATATTCACTTTCCCTTTCAGGCAAACAGGAGTAACGTTCTGTGTCGGCAACTCCTACGCCGTAATACAGTAGCATGCCAATGGCAGCTTTCACAAATCTAGAGCCCTAAACATTGTTGTATATGTTCTGCAGACTTCTAGAATAAGAAGAATGTGATTGAAAAAGTACTTTGAGAACTGAAATGCATCATATCTTTACAGTATAAAACTGTTTATACTAAGACAAATGACTCTTTTGCTGGAGAACATCTATTGTGTAGGACTTTAAACTATTTTATTGTGACAACTTGACGAAAAGTTTAAAAAATCAGTTAAGCAAAAATTCAGTAGAGCGTATAATAAAGAAAGAGAGCAATTTATAATCACCTCAACCCCAGCCAGAAATCTGCAATGAAGTGTGCTTTCTAGTTTAAGGTGTCAAACTTCTATGAAGATTTGGAGTTTTGCCTCTGAGGTCTGAGACAATGCATTAAGGATTTAATTTGCCTCTGAACAGCACATTTAAAGTAAACGTTGAAAAGCTTTGAACTCTTCTAAACAATGGTTACTTGCAAGGACACTGTGGTTACAGATTTCTGCCTCAGCTGGAGTCACTTCACTTCCACCTGCTTCTCTTCAGAAGAGTTTAAGGTCTACTTTTAGTACCTGAACCATAAAAAGCTGTAATTTTTGTTCTCAAAAGAAATGAAGAACAGGGATAATTCTGAATAACACATGGGTAGAAAGCATACTGCATTCCAAAAATGGGAAAACCAGCCTGATTGGAGAACAATTTTGATATACTATAACACAACAGGAGTGCTTATATAATCACAGTTAATGTGCATGGGGAGTGTATACTGAAAGGAAATTGATTACTTTGTTTAGTGCAAACCACCATTACTGTTATGTGTCCTCTTGAAGTGTAAAAATTGAAGAACAGGGAGAATGAGCTTCTACTCTAGCAACACTACTCTAGGAAAGTCATTTGGTGTTTGAATCCCTAGAAATGTTGCATTTTCTTCCCTAAAAAAGCAATATTGCCAAAGCAATTCCACCAAACTTTTAAACTATCAGAAACTATCCGGCTACTACACATCTTGGTAGCGCCATCACATGATATCTAAACATCCTGTGGACTCTGCACTGTTCTTCAGTATGGCTGCTCTCTGTCAGTGAACAGCAGTTACTTGTGGCTGATTTCTTCCCCTCTTCTGTCCTGAATCTACGTAGTGTTGCACATTACTGACAGTGAAGAACATTCCATTCCATGTACTCTCATAGGTGCTGAACAGGGTAGAGATCAAGTCTCCACATAGGATAAAGCAGTCTGCACACGGCCCCTATTCAAAATGCTCAAGACGGGTTACAGAAGTATCTGTTGCTGTGTGGAATCTCTATGGCCCAGAGGAACTCTTGAAATGGAGATGGCTACCTTACTATAAAAACAGAGGGAATTTTAAAAAGTGTATTTCAAGGAAGATGTTTTCATTCAAACTACGATTTGAAAATATGTCCGTACAAGAAGGCGCTTTTGTGCTTTTTTATGCTTTTGCTTTTTCGTTCTTGAAAAACAACCGAAAAACCCCCAGTGCAATTTTGCAACTCAACGTCACAGGCAGATGGATGTGAAGCAAGCGAAGCTGTGAAACAGAGCCGTAAAAAAAAAGAGCGGGAAAAAAAGGAGAGCAGTGGACACAAGAATGAGCCGGATCAGGAGAAGACAGGAAGGTCCTGCAGATGAGAGCAAGAGTCACAGCAGTTAAGATAATTATGTCTATACTTAGACAGAACATCCTCCAGCTCCAACGTGGAATAGTTGTGCCAGGTACCATCCGATCGAATCATACGAGCTGCAACACAAATGTTGTGAAGAATTGAATTAAAGCTCATGTTGACCAGCACTTTAAGATTAATTTAAGAGCTCGCGAGCTGCATAGAATAAAAGGAGGTGCTGCACAGTTCACTTCAAAGTCTTCTGCCCCCCTCCAGTAAATCCTTCTGCTTCCCAGACCAGCTCTACCACTGCCCCCTGCAGGTGGGCGTGTGCAGGGTTCAGAGAGGAAGATTATCTTATCAGCTTGAAGCTGGACGAGACCACCACTGTTTCCGAGTGACATCACTTTCATGTCACACTGGACAAGTCTTTAATCCTATTCTCTACAGGGTAGAGCTCTATAGGTGTGCACATGGAAATCTTCCAGTTTTCTTCCCCTTACTCACTTAATACAAACTTACACACACCTGCAGTATCTTGAAAATAAACTTCACAATTATTCACCTTTCTTTGAATTGAAATTCTCTGATATTAACAACCTAGGAAAAACTTTAATGAAAACAAAATGAAAAGGCTGCCTTCACATAAAACACTTGTGATTTTAGACTAATTTGATTGCTTTTAACATAAATGTATATGTTTAACCTAAAAAACCCATACATGTATGAATAGCTGTATTTTTCAAATTCTTCCATTTGTTCATTGCAATATTCAGTGTTTTGAGTTCAGTCCTCATTGGCGAGGTACCAGAAGTTAATTAGGAGATTGAGTCTCAAATGATGATGAAATCTTCCTGGAAGAGTACTTGAAGTATTGTATTCAGCTGGCTCTGTTCCTAGAACTTCTAATCAAGTTCATCTGCCAGCATTGTGTTTATATTTTAGCTCAGTTTATGATTAGCTCTGACGACAGCAGTCTGCTCGTGTCATCATATGTACCCAGACCAATCCTGTGAGGTCAGACTTTCAAACGAACATTTAGTTCCTAGTTTACAGAGAGTTCCTAGAGGCTATTTAACAAGATATTGTTAAATCTCCTTCATAAAGAAGCAAACAGTCCCACTACGGTCCTGCGAGAGACCTGTTTATAGATCTTAAAAATTAGCATAAGGTACAAAATGTTCTAGGTTCTGTAGCAAACATGCAACTGGCGTGCTGGAGCAATGTTAAATATATTTCAGTATACCTGTTAAAAATGGCTCTCTCAGGAGGCTGATGCTTCCATATGCATACGTGATTCGTGAAGTCAGGTACTTGGGTTTAGCATACAAAGAGCAGACAGGACCCGATCCTCCATTTTCAGGCTGATGCGGAGAGCCGGGTTACTCGACGGACTCACCCAGGTCGTTGTTGTTCATCATGGCGTTGGAGCCGCGCAGCCGTGGCCCCTGCTGGGTGAAGTGATAGCCGAACTTGAGCAGCGTGGTGTTCTTCTCCAGCATGCTGGCAATCTCCATCTCCACCTTGTTCCCCAGCTGCTGACTCTGCAGCGGGAGGAGGGAGAGTGAGAGCCGCTGGCATCTGGGAGCCTTGAGTTTTTTCTCAAACATGCCAGGAACTAGCACATTTACGTGTTCATATGTAAAGGGCAGACAAATATGATTTTGAAGCCATGGTACGGCAATGATATATATGTGCAGTGCAGCAGACAACTGTAACCGATAACCTTTTCTTCCTCCCATTCGCTACAGCTTAGATTAATGAGGGGCAACGAAAACTCAGAATCTCACCGTCTCCTCTGAATATTTTTATTTATTGTCATGGAGTTACTACTTACTGTCATGGAGTTAAAATAATTTACTACAAAGGTTTATTTAGAATAGCCTTATTTTTCTAATGACAGGAAAAGCATGACATTTTACCAGGTTTATGCGCTATACACATTTTTTCAAGCAATTTGCATAATACAAGGCCCTCATCTAAACGTTCCTGTGCATTACAATAAGGGTAATAAGCAACACTGCTAGTGTTTCTGCTGTTATTCTTCCATTTCTTTTCATTTCTCATGACACTAATAACCAGCTTCCTGCCCTGTGTTTCTTCTCACCTGGTTGTCAATCTTCAGCTCTATTAGGGATGAATTGAACTGGAGAGCTTCCACCAAGGCCAGTATCCCATTTCCCGTGATGAAGTTGGACTCGACATTGAGACACTTCAGTGTGGCGTTTACCTTTAACATTTCTGCCAGGGCCTGTTGCAAATGCAAGAAAAATCCCATAAGGTTTCCAACAAATTAAAACACCCTTTTAAAATCAATAAGAAATATGGTCTCTCATGGTGTTCCGAGAGCAGGTGTAGCTCTATAATGGTTGAGACTTCACTAGTCTAGTCTAGGACATGTCATTGGCTGATTGTGACCAGGATTCCCCAATCGGCAACACATGCTTGGCTGAGAGTTTCCAAGGGTAAGATTGGGACTAGTCGGCTAGAACTCTAACAGCAAACAGTTTGTGCTGCTTTCGTTTCTGAGATATAGTTCTTGGTCCAAATACTGCAGCCCCAGTTAACCGTGTGTGCTGTATGAGCATGCTGGATATACAGTTACACATCCATTGGTTTCCAATAAATTACCACAAGACTGAATAGCAGACAAAGAATGTCATGGCATCCACAGTGCCTTCACGTCTCAGATAGCGTGTCATGATAGAGGTGCGCGCATCACGATCACATCACAATACCAGCAGCGTTACTATCGCGATACCTGTCATGACTGGTGCATCACTGGCGAAATCGATACAGTATATCGCGATATGACGGCTAACAAAATGCACCCGCAACATGGAGTCCAAATATCGCAATATGACATACCCCAGACCGAACGCCCGCCTCCATGTCGTGACTCGAAATCCATATATCCCGACACGTCCTATCTGGGTATCATGTCGTGATATGACCCCTTTGTCGCAACAGCACCAGGGTGCCATGGAACCAAGGCGCCAGTCGTGAAAGTCACGTGCCCATTGTCACGATATACGCTTCCTATAGAAAAGGAAAACGTGCCTTTTCGATATTGATTGTCTGTAAATGTTAAGGGTACGAGCTAAACTGTCCATTTGCTGCCTGTGTGTTGTAAAGATCACCTTAACTATTTGGACAACGACGTTTTACAACATATCCAGTAAGCTGTGCGTATTGCTTTAAAATCCGAAGCAAAAAGTTTTTTTACAATGTTTATTCAGTTATTCTGTCACAAAACAGAGTATATTAAAGAAGTAAAGAGTTTAGTATAAAATTGTATCATCTGGTGTGTTGCACTGTTCAAGGAAACATGCTGGATTAAAGCTCTGTTTTGTTCCCCGACCATAAAAATGCAAAGGCTGGGGTCAATTGGGATCAAAAGATCACAATTGAAAGATATGGTGGTTGTGACTTTGCTGTTTTTGTACGTCATGGAGTGACGTCACAGCCAGAAAAATATAATGAAAAATATTTAAATATCCACCCTACCCAACCAGACGGACTCAGAAAACAAATTACACCCATTGTTTTAATCACATTCAGGAGTTAAAGTACCGAGAATGTTGGTACCTGTAAATTTCCTCGTAGAAAGTCACGTGATTACCCGAACAAACAAGGCGCTATATCTTGGAAACGAAAGCAGCCCAAACGCTAATTTCACGGCACAAACGCAGCACTAACGCATGAGGTGGGTTTCATCGTTTGTGCTGTGCCAACTGCTGGGCCAACTTCACGGAGCTTGATGGTTAAAATGAAGGGAAGAAGAAAAGTCCAAATTACAAACACTGTACACTTAGATTAACTGAAAAGCCGTTAAAATAAAATTAAGATCTCCTAGAGATGGCATATAAAAGCATGAGAGCATCCTGGCATTTCACATGACAGTTTGGTATGGAAACCCTGGGATGAAAAGCAAAACCAATCTGTCCAGGATTGTGAAAATAGCAGGAAAATAATTGGGAAACAGCAGCCCCAGTCCAACCACTTATATCATAGTACAGTTCTCAGATTGGCAAGGAACATCACATCTGATTCCACCCATCCTTTCCATTCTCAAATCATAATGCTCCCATCAGGGAGGCCATATAGGGGACCAAACTCAAATAAAAAACATGTATAAGAAGTCCTTTGTCTCAAATGAATGTATGTAAATGCAGTCCCCCCACAGTTGTCAGTTATCTGTCACCCTAGGGTACACAAGGGAGTGTTTCATTCATTGCTTTAGAATATCAGCAGAACATTTTAAAATCAAATAAATAACCAGAATTAGGCCAAAACCTGAGATTTGGATCTTGTTAAAACACCAACAACAGCATTCAGAACATGTTCTAAAGCTCTCACAGTGCTGCTGAACGCATCAAGAAACGATGTTACGGTGTTGAAAAATACACTTTGAGTACAAATGTGAAAAAAAATGCAATAACTCAAAGAAGCTGTCTCTGATTAGTTACAGTGTGTGGACATTGAGATACACTACTTACATAAGCAACTGGATCATTACTCCTGGTTCCTACGATACTCAGCTTCTCAACATAGGTATTGTCTTTCATAGCTTCTGCATAGGCCTTCAGCGTGGGCACCGGAATGTTCTGTTGGCACAAGAAAGCCTTGCTTTAATTTCAGTGGACAGCCACAAACTACACCATGACTACACCTTGCCAACATAGTTCAGTGGAGAAAAGGCTTGGGTTTGAATTTATCGTCACACACCAAAATGTCATCGTCTAAAAATAACGTATTCAGACCACATTGTTTCAAATTAGGACACTGACAAACAGTGTAAACAAAAAAAAAACAAATCTTGCAGTATGAAACAAAAAATTCAGACACTTCTTTTAGACAGAAGGGCTACATCTACACCACCTTCATTCATGGCGTTACCTTAATGTGTTACAAAATCTCAAGGCTGGGGGAAAAAGAAGGACATTTGAATGTTGCCATTAATCCTTTCTTTTAGAACAATTGCATTCTTTCATTGTCAAGCTAAAATATACCCCAAGCTACTTCTGAGCTACATAACATTACATTTGAAACCAGATCAACGTTCTGTCTTCTGCCCTGGTATTAGCATGAAACAATCTGTGCCAGAACAAGTCAAGAGTTTACCTTAATATTATTGAGGTTCACCTCCACCAGGTCTGGATCATTGTTCTTGATCTTCTCAAGTGTTTTTTCAATGTCTGTGGAGTTCGGCTCTTCATCGGGCACAGGTTTGTACTGGGTAGACTGAATTACACCTTAGTGGAATTGAAAAAAGCAATGAAATCACAGAATACTCATTTCCAATTGAAAATTTCTAATCTTATATTAAAAATAAAGACCTTCAGGCAGCTAATGATAAAAGCTTTAAATCACATTACAATTGTGATTATTTCTTTAAGGAATGACCGTGAGAGTTACTGCTCTCATTCATGGAAGTCACTGGAGATTCTTTTGTATTGATACTAAAATATCATACACTAGCACAGTTATTAAGAAAAGCTTATTACTTAAAGCCTGTACTCTTGAAAATTAGGGAACTCATCTATAGGAAATTTTTTTTACAAATGTTTTAGGGAGTAGGGACAGAAATAGTATATAATTTAACATAAACTGCAAAATGCATCATCAGTCCTGAAAAATCTCAAATATGTCTTTTAAGGAGGGGCTAAATCTGTTATTATTTTTAATTCCACAAATACTTCTCACTGCACTGTTGCTTTTGGGGTCCTTGCTCTTTGCATCTATGTGGTGAGAAAAGAAAAACGCAGATATGCACAGTTTCCTATTTGCAAGACTTACAACTCCACACGTCATACCCTGTAAGTCAAACACCTATGCTTTCTCACTTTTAGCCGAGCTGATAAACTCCATAAATGGAGCAAAAAGGGGTGCAGACCTGTAGGTCACAGCACTATCACTAGGCTCCCCTGTGTATCTTAAATGTATATGATTTTTTTGGTTTAGATCATCTTGCAATATAACTGAATTGAATGGTGATAAATGACATTTTCACGTCTAGGGTAAAAATGTACACATAGGAGAATGCGGTGTGAGGTATCTGCAAAGTACACGTTGCCGAAAATGTTTGAGAAACCTTTATAACTTTGTTGTTGCCGTGGGTGGGCTTGTGCCTGGTTAAGATGGAAACATAACAAAAATGAAGGTTATTTTTTTTTTACACATCTACACAAAAATAAAGGGGGCTGACATTTTACATGTGCGTATGAGAGCACTTACTGTTCAAGCCTTCCTTGTTGACAATGGTGCTGCTGGCAAGAGCCTCATAATACTGCTGGTTGCTCATCAGCGTGTGCATACCCAGAATGGCTGTAAGGACAGATGGAGAACGCTGCTGACTTGGGGGAACATTCCAGAATCAGAAGCAAAGACAAAGTTCTGGTTCGTAGTGCTAAGAGCTACAAAAACAATCTTACACATGTCTTCAACACAAGTCACAATAGGCTCAGCACAGACATCCAAACACAGCAGGCAACAGTCTTTCTCTTGCACTTGGCTCTCTTTCAAAGGCATTGCCAGGGGGCCAAAAAAATACATGTACATGATAAAGCATGTATTGTTTCTCCATTGATACACCAATCGATTTCATGCAAGCATTCATAAATTTACCTCCCCACAACAGTCACAATGCTTTCATAATGTTGATAATTACTAGAAAATCAAGAATAGTTAAAACTCAACATAAATCTTTGATATTGTAATTAAATGTATGACTTTCTACAATGCCACCTTGAATGCTATTTTCAGTTCTGGTTATCAAATTATGAAGAGATAAACAACTACCTTAGAGCTTGAGTTCTACACATTGACTTCAAATGTTTAAAAGGAATCTCCAGAGCTAAATAAACCTGTCATTTCATCCAAAGTTCAGGATGCTCAATGGAACTTTGACCTGAGGTAATTAAACACTGAGCAAAATTCGCAGGAATCGTTCAGAATTATCAATACTGTGAAAAGATCACGTGACAAGAGTTTGAGACAAGCACAAAGGAAATCGAGGGGAACATCCTTGCACTAGATTTTGTTTTGAACTCACTGTGCAACCTAGGACTAGGACTAGAAAGACAATTACAAACCAAAAACTTTAATGTACTAATAATATAAAAGTAGAGAGAAAAAAACCTTTGTGCCAATTCAAATTCCTGATGGGATTTACTGTAGGTAGTTTCAAAGTAAAACCTATCATGGTTGTCCTGATGTTATATGGATTTCTTATAGTTTTATACAAACATTGTGTCAGTGTGGAACATATTCCTCTGCTGTCCTCAGGAAATAGCTACACTACAGTGAGCAACGGTTCATTTCAGTACCAATTTGCAACACATTACCAGTGAAGGACTGGCCATTAAGACAATTATTCAAGCCCTTATATACACGAAAAAAGTACCACTGCACCAACTGCAATTGTATTAAAAGTCTTTTGCAGGTTATCTTCCTTTTGTTGTAGGTTATTTGTTCACAAACAACAATTCATGTAAGCTGCTGTAACAAAAATAATTTACGATTTTATTTTCTTTCAAATGAAAACCCACAAACAGTAAATTTGACAAAGAGGAAATTATATACCAAAAATAGAGATGACAAATGAAAGTTTGCATGGTTTTTATGATTAAAAATGAAAAACACAGCGATAATGAGAGTTCATACATTTTGTCTTTTTGAGTTGAGTTTTCCAACATTATTTTAGTTACTTAACATATTAACAGCAGTTTCATTCAAGAACATGGAAAATAAGAGAAGGTGTGCAGACATGCACTCACAGATGACATTTTCCCAGGTGAAAACTCCTGACTGAGGCACAGATACAGAACAGAACAGAGCAGCCATTGAATAATGCTGAACAAGCAGCCACAGCTACATAAAACGGCACAGACAGACAAACTACTTTTGGACTCCTGGTATTCAACAGATCCAGACTATGTCTTATTTTGAAATACATGTTGCAGGTGCTTAATTTGTAGTGACTTTTAATCACATTCCCTAGCAAGCAAAACATAACATAGCAAGAAGATATATGATTATCAGCCTCTTTCATCAAAATGGGATAAGGACATAGTACAAAAAGACTCAAGGGTTTCTCAGTGGGCATATACTGTATCTTGGCACCTCATGCATGCTGGAAAAGGTCCACAGATACAGACAGTGTCATCCAAAACAGCACTATAGCCCAATACCTCATCTAGTGAAGTCCTGAAACTATACAGGGAGGCTGAAGTACATTAAATTAAGATGTAACAAATGAAATATACAGCATATAACGCTTCGGGTAATTTCATTTATTCAGAGATTGGCAAAATCAATCCATGTCAATTTGAAACTATTAACCAAGCCAGCAAAGTCCAAAAGTTTTCACATATGCCATTGCCATAGAGGAATATGAAGAGTGGATTTCAATTCATCTAAACAGCAGTGGATCAGCAGTGTTTAGATCTGCTGAAGAAATTATTTTCATTCATATTAGATTCTCTTAGGTATTTTCGTTGGAAAAAAAACAGAGCACACTAACAGCATTTTAAGTTTATTTTCCTGGGCTCTGTAAATAAACCAAGAACGCGCTTGGCTGTACTGGATCGACTGCTGCTTAAATCCACTGACAACCCAGGGAAAACAGCGCGCCGCAGTCAGATAGCTTACAATCCCAGAGAGATGGCTAATGAAATGGGTGATGTCATGATGCCAGAGGAGAGCAGATTGCTGTGCTGCAAAATAAACATGAGTGGTTAGGATGATAAAACAGACAGCAATACACCACCATGAAGAAGAAGAGAAGCCTACAGTAACAGCATCAGATTGCAAAATGCTGACAACTGAAATAAGGAGAAATCTTGTGGCAAAGTGTGTATATGCCCTTTCGTTCGTAAGTATAAGAAGCAATTACAAAAATCACAATCCATCAGTTCAAGACGATGAAGGACACTCCTGCAAATGGAGGACTAGGCTGAAATAAATTAGAGATGCCATTAGTGGACTGTGGTGAGACGCGTAGAATACAGTGTGAAATAAGTCTGTAAATGCTAGAATAGCTGCGTGTTACATCTTAAAGTACAACGGAATCTTTCACCTGGCTTGTGAGCTGCTGCTGACTGGCTCAACTGGAAAAGGCACTGGCCCTGACTGCAGTTTGGGCTCCAGATGTCATGAGTTCAAGCCTGGCCTTCCTCAAGTGATGAGCACTGTCAGGTGTTATTAGGTGTCCAGGGATCTCTCAGGTCCCAGCAAAACTGTGATTTCTGCAACTTCCAAAGTGTCTGCGGTGGCTCATGATGATATCATTAAAGGATCACACATCGGTACAGATCTTGCTATACGTCAGTGAGGTGGAGGCTGTATGTTCAATTCCTGTTATCTTCACAACCGGTACAGATTTTTTTTAATTGACTAATTTTTACGACCTTACATATTTTAATTAAAGATACCCAGTGCCATAGCAGAGGAGTATTCAAGCTGTAGTGTGCAAGCAGTTTACTGCTTCCTTCTTTAAAAGGAATATAATACAGCAATAAAAATAACTTTTATGTTTTTTTCATACGGAAATAGAAATATTGCCTACAGTAAGAATTGTTACAAACAAGAAACGGCCATTATTTGACTCATAGCTTGTTTGGCTGTTAGCTAATTGATCTGAGGGTCTGATCCAGACATTACTTGAAAGCAGCCAGGCTATCAGCTTCAACAACATGGAATGGCATCTTGTTCCTTATTCCTGCAACCCTTTGTGTCTTAGTTTTAAATGCACTTTCATGTATAGAAAAATCTAATCATCTTCTATTTGGTGCAAAAGAGTGTCCAATCGGCTCATTCACATTTGTACTTGGCATTAACCCTGTACAATAATCTCATCCACATTTACGACAGTTAGAACGATGACCTATGATTGACCTATGACCTATGACTGACCTATGATTGAGACTCGAAGGCATTCTCGAAAGTGCCCATATATTGGTACATGGACAACATTAAAGGAAACTCAGTTTAACAAGCCAATCAGGCAGGTAAAAAGGGAATCAAGGTAATTCGATTTTTTGATGGAACAATCCTAACATCAGTCAAGATGACGCAGCCTTATATGACGTTCTGTAATTTTATGTGAGATGATGTATCAAAATGTATTTTGCATCTAAATGAAAGCTTGGAAGCACCCAGAAACTATTTACAGGTCACAAAGGGCCAGTATGTTCTACATATTGTGCTCAGGTTACATCCTTAACTTAGAATATGAAATTAATTTGAATTTCAAGTTAAAAAAAACACAAGAAGAAGCACTCCCTGAGTTTGAAAAGGCCCGCTGCACTCACATTAAATGTGTTACTACTAGCCAGCAACCAGGTCACCCTGCAACTCATAACTGGTAACCCACTGATGCAGGTGTGAGCCTGGTCAGTACCTGGATGGAAGACCGACTGGGAAAAACTAAGGTTGGTGCTGGAAGAGGTGTTAGTGGGGCCAGCAGGGGGCGCTCACCCTGCAGTCTGTGTGGGTCCTCATGCCCTAGTACAGTGAAGGGGAACTATCAGTCGCCGTCCTTTGAGACATAAAACTGAGGTCCTGACTCTCTGCACTCACTACATTTCCTCCTGGCCTTTACTAATCACGGCCTCCTAATAATCCCCATCTCTGAACTGGCTTTATCACTGCTCTCCTCCCCACTGATAGCTGATGTGTGGGGAGCGTTCTGGCGCACTATGGCTGCCGTCGCATCATCCAGGTGGGGCTGCACATTGGTGGTTGTGGAGGGGAGTCCTTGTTACCTGTATAGCGCTTTGAGTGGAGTGTCCAGAAAAAGTGCTATGTAAGTGTAAAGAATTATTATTGTTGTTATAATTATTCTTATTCTTCTTCTTCTTATTATTATTATTACATGAAGTACAGCTATGTAAAGCCATTACGAGGGGCAGTAACAATGGCGAGTGGCTTTGGTGGCGGTAGACGGCTATCCTGTCCCCTCACCTGCGATGTCACACAGCTCGGCGTCACTGGCGTTAGCCAGGGCCTCCTCCAACTCTGGCTCCAGGGTGACGTTCTCCATTATCGGGTCCACAGGCTTCGACTTGGGGACCCAGGCCTTCCCTGAAAGCACAAGGAAACCGCTGTGAGAGCAACCCCTCACGCACAGGCACCCGAGTTTAGATTGGCAAACACTCAAGCAATCAACGTATTTAAGGTTTTGATCTTTCTTTTGAGATTTTGCTGGCATTGAACTCCTTTCATGCTTGAGCCTTCCCATTTTGATTAAAAATGTTCACATTGATTAAAAACAGTCAACAATTATTTGAAACTCAACAAAATGGGACATCAGTGGAAGAGAGTGAATACTTCTGTTAGGCACTCTAGCCAGAGATATGCTATTAAACACAGGTGGGTTACAGTGCAAAGAGGAGGCCCCGGATGTAAGTGTAAAGTATTGAAGTATTATGTTGGCAGTTTTTAAACTAGCTGAAACCTTTCACTCACAGTCATGACCAAGATTGATAATGCCCATAGATCTGTGG